TTTGTAACAACGGAAACGTACAATTCTATAATTGGTTTTTATAGTTACATGGTGGAAATAACAAGAGTATTCATTTTTTTAAGGCTGTCCATAGGCACTGACTTCACAGAACAGCGCATGTATTTCTCAGGATTCTTCAGTTCTCTCAACTGATTTGATATATCTCAGAAAGAAGGCTGTGTCCTATTTCAGGAAGATCCTTGCAATAGCAGTTGTTTATAAATCCACACAAGAGTATAGTTATGTCAGAACCATTATATTTTCAACCGTGGGCGAGGTTCTGCGATTCATAACGTGACGTAAATATCCCGCTGGGATTACTACTTTCGACACTGTGTCCTTGACGTCCGGCAGTGGCAAGTCCGGCGGGTGGGCGGCCCACATGCTTTTAAAAAATGTTATTTCTTTTCGCCTTCTTTTGGTCTTTGAAGTTTGGGAGCTAGATACATCAGTGTAGAATTATACGATAATTTTAAAAAAGTACTGTGTCGGCCTAATGTGAACATTAAAAATTAAAACCTATTCTAAAAACTTGAACTATTTATTATGAAAATATACTAAATGCTCCAAAAATTCAACATAACTTTGTCTGAAAACCTGTTTTTGAAGAACGCATTTCAATAAGAAAAAAATTGTATCTTTATAATTGTAGTTGGTCGGCCCCGTGGCGCAGACGGTTGCGGCAGCCGTCGTCTGTGCCGAGGAGGCTGCAGGGTCGAGTCCTGCGTGGACATGGTCGCATTTGTGATTGTCCCTTCACCTATCATCATCATCAACATCATCCTTTCGTCTCATAATTCACACTTCGAGGCGTAACAACCTTGTTGTAATCCAAGGATACAGCTGAAAAGCTGATCCTGGAAGAATTACACACGTTAATCGTGTAGCGTGGTCAGTAATGGCCTATACGCCAATAATAATAATAATAATAATAATAATAATAATAATAATAATAATAATAATAATAATAATAATAATAATTGTAAGAAGGCGCCGAAAAAAGTTTGATTTTCAATTGTCGAAAAATCAGGGTTTTCAACAACAAAATTTCATCAAAAACGGTCAAGCCATTTTTGAGATACAATTGTTTAAACGAAAATTAAAAATTGCCTATATTTCACGCGGAATTACGCAAAATTACTCAAATTTTCAAATAAACTTACATGACCTTACTTAAAAATCTATCTCCAAGGAACAGATTTTATTACGATAAAAAATCTCTATTTTTAATATTGTAGTTGTAGGAAGACGCTGAAAAAAAATCCCAAATTTTTCAATTTTCGAAAATTAGACCTGCGCCATTCTCTTAAACGTCCTTCAGACTATCCAACAACCAAATTTAATCAAAATCGATGGCGCCATTTCTTTTTAAATTTTAAAAATTTTCCAGGGGCTTCATGTCAAGTACCTCCAAAATTAAAATATAGATTTCAAATTCAAGGGGCCGCGACATCAGTCATATTGATTAGAGAATATCAATTTTGGAGAAAATCGGCTGAACAGTTTAGCCGCTAGCGTTGCTCACAGACGGACAGACAGACGTTTTCGACTTTTCTTTATCAAGAACCCACAAAACATGGATTCTGGATACACCGCGTGATAGAGGATTTCACCCTTTAAATTAGCAACTGAATTTATCCACATTTTCGTTATCAGAACCCGGTAAGAGGAGTTTTTCTGCCAAAAATGCGCGGAAAATAATTTGTTTTCCGTGCAGCATTACGTAACTCTCTTCTTAAGAAGTTTATTTCTAGAGTGTACATGTAAAAATACACGTCTCCTATTTTACCGTAGACCTCATAAACAAGTTTAAAGTTAAAGCTAAAACATAATGATGTTTTATGAGTGTCCGATTTGAAGTAGAAAGACCTCTCTGGATTCGGAAGGGAAATAAAAGACGAGTTGTGGGAAGTTGCCAGGAGGGCTGAGCTTTCTAGGCGGGCAAGTAGCTCGTGCGGACGCAGGTTGATATGTCTGCCTTAGACTATGTATGAAGGGTTATTGAACAAGTATTCAACATTTCCATTAATGCCAACGTGAATCATCTCCCGGGGGCTGTCAAGGCGACATCCGTCAATACTGACTAGGGTGCGTAATAAAGATGGACAGCACCTCAGAGTGAGAACCGAAGTAGACAACTATAGCCAAAATTGGGATTTATAGAGAAATTTTGCTTTAAAAGGATTCCAATCCTATACAAAAATATTTTACAATTTTTTAAAATACTTAAATGACTAAGATATTTCTTGAAACCAATCTTTTTGTGAGTATTTTGATGGCGGACCGGGTATTTTGCGACCACAGAATAACAAACTACTAATACGACTTGAGAGATATGTTGCAGGGGAGCGTTTTGAATGTTTGTAAATCTACATTAACCTAGAAGATTGATTTCAAAACTGTTTTAATATGTTGTAGATATGACAACAGAGAGATCGAACATGTCAAAAATTATTTTCGCCAAAAATTTCAGATAGAATCTTGTCATGCTGAGGCTCCAATGTGCGGTGAGATAATGGCATGTAACGGAAATAGATGTTGTGAATTTCCTTTTTCATATTCAATGAATGCACTGAAATTGATGCCACATGTTGAAATAGTCATTTTTATCTGAGTTCATTTTTTATATCGTTTTACAAAAGCAGCAAATCCCACATAATTTTCCATGACATAGAAATATGGTCCTAGTACATGTTTTTGATTCGTGATAACGTGAAACATAACTTCTCGAGTCTCATAGAGCAATACCTAGTGGTTTTATTACAGTTAATATTCAACTATTGGCATTGGAATGAATTGTTGTAACACCTACCTTGTACAGCAAATGTAAGGAATCACCCAGTCTGGAAAGCTGAGAACCTCGCATTCTTTTCGTCGAGTAAAATTCAGGCAAATTTTAAAGGTGATCGGATTATTTTCTTAAGAGTTTTTGTTTTTTGCTTACTTGTGTCACTGCTTGAAGATTAGTTCCCCTTATCCAGAAACTGCCGGTAGTATCAACGAAGGAGTTGGAAGTCATGTCAGTCGATAGATGAACGTCCTGACCTTTCACCCGATTATGTGAGACCTGGTACCAGACGCATCTAGTTCAATCCAGTTAATCATATTCTCATTGGCGAGTTAGTTTCGAAGACAAAAACGTCATTACTTGTCTCTTTTAATCGAGTTTGTCTACTCGATTACTGCACAAACTTGAGTGTGGGATTATCATACGATGAAGGTTAGTAAAATAATAAAGAAATACTATTATCATGTGAACTTAGCATCTACGTTGCCTATGACAGCGATGGTAAACGGGTATAAAAGCACAAAAATTGCTCAGCAGACTGACGGATCTCTCCTGCCTCTGAAGAGCGTGTTTCTCGTAAGTATAATTGCCTTGGCAGTCAGGCTCTCGCTTCCTAAGGACTTCATACTAACATTTCGTTATTGATTACAGTTAGGTTGCTTCCAAGATTTTATTTTAATTTATTAATTTTATTTTATATTAGAGGTCTTCTTCAACTTGACGTGCTTTACATGACTAGAAAACGTACACCGTTACAAGCATTCATACAGAAAGAAGTTCCAAATATTCCAATTTTGTGCTAAGGTATATCATTTAGCATGAAGTTACAGTAAGATTTTTCCAGTAGTTACGTCAATGCAGCTATATAACACGGCTGGCTGATCGCGGTGATGATATGACTTTCACGACTTTCTGAACAATTAATAAAACATAGTGTAACTCGGCGAAAGTAAGTAAAATAAGCATCAATTACTGTCACCGCACTTCAGAAATGTCACTTTCACAAAGACTAGAAACTAGAAAGCACACGTCAACGTTCAAATTTTCATATTTTGGTCGCTAATTCGTAGTTTTTATAATTTCCAATTGGGGCGCTAAATGAAATAACAAATGCGCCGTGCGATAGACTGTGTTATACGCGCACGTAAGATGAAAATATTAATCTAAAAAACACGAAATAATTCCAGAACACATGCGCGGATTATACAAACTAGTTTTGCGTATTTGAAAACATTTATAGATCTTAAGTAAACCTATTCGGTTCACCAAAAAACTAACACTGACATTAAAATAAATGTTAAAACAAATGTCGTTTGTCAAAAACGAGATTCAAAACATGTCCCCAGGATTCCCTCACAATCCGCACCAGAAGGTAATTAGCACATGTAAATGAATAAATGAATGTATCCTACCCTGCCTACAATTACCTATTGCTCACATATCTCGAATTTTTATAGCTCTTTATGGATGCGCTTTAATAAAGCGTCCAGATCTTTAGAACCTAGCAAACATGTCACCAAAGTGGGTGGATACTACTTCAATTTCATACGTTGCAATTGCATTCATAAACAATAATTACATTATTTGAAAAATAGAATTTATTGTTTAGCGCACTTTAACGTTTTATGTTTTATTCATTATGTCCACAAGAGTACAAATGAACTCCTTAGTAAATGTACTACTTTCTTCCCTCAGAATGTGAATTATTTATATTATTTAAATTACTTTAATTCTTTTAATAACAGGTTTGTTGATATATAGAAACATAAGTAAAGGTTGTAAGGTGAAAAAGTCTATATTAAAACAATAATGAATTTTGAAATGTGGTTCATAATTTATCTTTGTTAATTTCTTGAAAATTTGGAAGCAACAACAAATTAAATGTTTATTAGGTTAATTTTACCTAACAAATAATTAATTTCGTACATGGTCAGATTTAGATAGTTCTTCAGGGGTTGGGGGAATTTCAGTTTGGAACCCCTCCCCCTATAATATTTTGAAAGAATTGTAAAAAAAAATGCTTTGCTGAAAATTTTAATTTTTTTGCATTTTATGTACATATATTATTATTATTATTATTATTATTATTATTATTATTATTATTATTATTATTATTATTATCATCATTATTATTATTATCATCATCATTATAAACTTATTTTTATTTAAATTTTAGGTCGCTCTTTACCATCTTGGTCATATAGCGACCCCTGTGATTGGTAACTGTAGAGGGAACACATAAACACAACACAAACACACAAAACCATCCATGTCCGAGGCGGGATTGAAACCGGTGACCCTACAAACCAAGGCAGCAATGACCCTTCAGCCATAACGATCTCTGCTATCCAGGCTGGCAATATCTGATAATTATTTTAAATATATTAAGTAAAATTACAAATTAATGGCTGTGGGAAGGAAACATGACCTGCAGATCTGCATGGCTCTTCCTCTGAATTCACATTGTCTGTGAGCACATACTTGAAAAGCTACTTTGGCAGCACGCAAAATTACAACAGTGCTAAAGAATATATAAATAATATATAAATAATATATAAATATGCTTGTCTGTATTACATATGTGGTTACTGATAATGAGACTTCTCAGCTTGAATTCTGTTTTGAGTATGATTATTGAAACAACTGTTTTATTTGTCATTGACCCACATTTGACTAGCCACTAGGTTTCTTTCATGCAGACTTCTTTGCCATTTTATTTTCAAGGAAATCATTAACTAAACAATAAATTGTCAGTTGCTTAAGTACTTCATGTAGTATCTACCTTTACTTAAATCTATGTAATAACAACAATCCTCCAAACATTAATGAACATTGTACCTTATTATTTACAAATAAATGTACAAACTTTTAAAATTCCCATTACAATTAGAAGTACACTGAATTGGTTTTATTTTCATGCTGTATCTGCTGTCCATAACTAATGCAATGTTAATGTTCTAGAAATATTCATACAAAAATGCTGACCAAAGAACAAAAGCAATTTTACAAAGACAATGGTTTCATCAAACTTGAAAATATATTTACAAAAGAAGAAATGGATGCTTTATCTGATGAATATAATGAATTGTTCACAAGAAAACAAACTGAAAGTGATATGGAAGCTTCTTGGAAGGGCAACGATATGAAGGAAGCTGCAAAGGAAACGCCAGTTGTAGTAAGACAAATATTTTACTTTGGATGGAATTGGAATTGGATGCCTTCACTAATATTTCTTACTTTCTGTCATTTTAATCTTTTCTGTATGTTTAAGGTTCTTCTTCTTTAATGTTTTCTGTTTATTTAAGGTACTTTCCATACATAATCTTCAGTTTCATTCTGCTATTTTCTCTCGTGTTCTTCAACATGAGAAAATATTGGATGCACTTGAAGACATCATGGAAACACCAAATATTTTACTGCATCACACAAAAGCACATTTAAAACCTCCATCAAAAGGAGCTCCATATCTGATGCATCAGGTAAATCAAAGAAATAAAACCTTTTTTCTTCAATTTAAATGATATATTTCGATGTTGATTTGAAACCTTTGAGAAAAACTCCTCTTTTATTTTTATTTAATTTCAATAAATGATTGTTTACCCTCAAAAGCTAATTTCTAAATTATGTATGTTTTTTATGTAGGTAATAAATGTTAATTTAAATCATAATGTCTTCAAAATTAACATAAGTATTATTTTGTATCTATTGCTAAATTACAAGGGCTTTAAGAAAAATAAAGAGGTTAATTTCTAAATGAATAACATTATCTGGTTACTCATTTATAATTTAATCATTTTCATCCTTTTTCCAGGACTATCACTACTTTCCTTTTAAAAAACATTCCATGGTTGCTGTTTTTATTCATATGGATGATACAACTCCTGAAAACGGTGGGTTATGTGTGTATCCAGGTTCTCACAAACTGGGTCCATTGTATGACAAGGGAAGTGAGGATGAAAAAGGTGAAAAATATCATTACATGAAACCAGTGAGTATCTCATATAAGCTTTGCAATATTCTTCCTACATTTTCACTACTATTATTGGTGCTTAACATTTACAACTCGTTCATAGTTATTATTGAGAAAAATATATAATTTTAACCATAATAGTTTCAAATACAATTTTGACTGCCAAGGCTAATATTATTATATTTTTCACAGGAAGACTTCCCCATAGAGAAAGCAACTCCCATTCATGCAAAAAGAGGAGATGTTGTAGTATTTTCATACCTTCTTGTTCATGGTAGTTATCTAAATACCAGTGAGCGAGTGAGGAGAATGTTTCTTATACAGGTAAGGGACAATACTTTTTACTGATATTCATCAAATATTAGTCCTGCATGTTAAGGAGATGAAATATAATCAAATTAGTTTTAAATATTGTTTTATGTTTAAGATAAATACACATTTATTTCAGATTTCAAACATTTTTCTCAAAAAAGGAAAAGTGATGTAGCATAATGACTTATTAAAAATATTAATAGCAAAAGGTAGCCTCTAGGCCCTAATTGTTTATATTAGTACAGTTTGGCAGGAAGGTGTCCAGTGCTTATTTTCAGACAATCAAATTGCAGAAATGTTAGCTTTCATAGAAATTGATAAAATACAACAATGTTTCTTGACTACATGCTCTTGTTCTCTCTGTTGACCTACCGGTGTCAAAGAAGTTTCATAGGTGACGGGCAAAAAGTTAAAATTTTAATACGAATATTCCAGCTTATATATACATGCAAAAAAATTTTATTTCCTTTTGTTTCAAATATAAATGACCAAAGACGTTGGTCATGTGACCACAACTAGCCAGGAAACGATATTGTTGTATTTTATCAATTTTTATGGATAATTAAAGAAACTTGCATTTTTTCAATTGATTGTTTTTAAATAAACCTTAAGTACCTTCCTTCAACAATCATCTACATAATCTTGAAATAAAATTTGTTGAAAATTCACAAAAATGAACAAATTTTGATAGTAAAATAAAATATTGGTGTTTTAATATTAAAATATATTTGTCACATTCTGATCAATTTGGTTCTCTATTCTCTTACAAAAGTTAAATGTTTAGTCAAGTTTCATGTCTGGTTATTTTATAATATTTCTTTATACTCTCAAAATACATATGGTAATTTGCAACTTCATCATTTCTTCACTTCATAACTTCATCTTCATCACTTCATCAACTTCTTCATTTATGTAGACTCATTGGCGTACACAATCCCTTTTCCTTTATTACCTTTAGAAACATAAAAACAACCTACCATCACTTTTTTTTCTTAATAGCAGTGTCATTATATGTACCCTCAAAACCAAAGGACGGGTGAGGTGGGGTGGGGTGATTCTTTTCTCATATTGTTACAAGGAATGAGAGAAAATAATTTTTACAAAAGTAATGTAATTAAAAGTATTTTCATAAAATGATGTAGAATCAGGTACTATTTCTTGAGAATATTGAATTAAATTAGTCCTGTGACTTTTTATTCTTATACATTTTCATTCTAATACTATTGCAGTCAGGTGGAACTTTCATGTGTGGAGAATCTTTTCTTACAATTGGAATAATAATTTCTATTTATAAGAAACATTATTCAACACTATTATTAACTTACTGAATCGATATAACTATATTCTTATTTCAGTTAATGGCTGCTGAGGATGAACCTGCCAATAATGAACATAAATCTCCTGGACAGGGTTGGGTTCTACGTGGAAGGAACCTGAAAAGAGATGCATCTATGAGCAACAGATTTGCTCACTAAATTAAACTTCATTAATACATTTTGAGCTTGTGAAACTCATTCTGTGTGAATATATAATTCATATTTTGCAGGAGTATACAATTCCATTTTGAATTTCGTATTGTATTGTCTGAAACGTGAAATTTCAGTGTATCAAAGAAATGTGGCATGTATTTCAAAGCATCACAATTATTGTGAAAGGTATATAAAAGAGAAAATAATTATATTTTTGTACATTTAGGAAATATATTTTGTAAAAAAGTTTGATTTATAAAAATGAAAACCTAAATATGTATATGAACCTTTTCCTTTGTTTCCTGTTCCACTTCTTATTCTCAACGTGTAAAATATTCATCAAGTTTCATTACAACACTTTTTCTTAAAAGTTTAATTTTTTCAATAATAATCAATAATGTAATGAAAACAAGATATAAAAAGTCATCTTTATTCTTTACACTTGAACCTATCTTATGAACATTTCTGTTGCATTTAAAATATTGGACTATCAATTTGGCAGAAACAGAAAAAGTACAGATGTTAAAAAATGTATGTTTCTTCAGTCATCTGTATTGTGAGTCATTGTATTGATGTGATGTGTTCCTTTGGAAAGCAAGAACAAGCTTTTGGGAATATCAATAAAAACAAATTTATGTGACAATTATCCCAAAACTCAGAACCTGCAGAAAAGAACATATGGAACCTTTTCTTTTTTTTTTTGTGGTACCACCTGATTTTCAGAATAACTTCCTAGAATTAGTATTGGATGGAATAATGTAAAAGTACGTACGAGTTTCAGCCATTCCATTCAGATAGAGGAATCCACTATGTTTTTATGAGAACTCGTATGAATACTACTGCAGATACGGTCCCAAAATTAAGAGCTTTTTAGATTTTGTGATATTTTAACAGACAAAAGTGCTTCACAAATAGTCTACAAATTACAGAGATACCAATAAAGTGCAACACTGAGAAACGTTGACAAGTCAGACACTGATCCTTGGCAGAGCCTGTGTAATGGCAAGTCACCTCAGCCATGTTCAAACTCTTGTTCAAGAACATTGTCTTCAAGCTTTGTGTATTGTTATGCATTCCTGCACAATGTAGGAATGGTTCTTGTTGCATGTACCTACTCCATAAAAGAAATATCTACAATTTTTTAATATGATATTTGATTGCTTTTCACATCTTTATCTGTAGGTGTTGTAAACTCTTAAGGTTAAAAGGCTTTCAACTTCTACATTCATCATCAGTTAGTTGGAATTTTGGAAAATTCTTTATTTATCTTCCAGCTTTATAATTTTTCTGGCGTGTTTATATTAATGGATCATCTCTTTGTCTGGAAAAGCAAGTAGTGATGTAAATCTGTGCATTAATAAAATTATGAATGAGTCATAATTATGAGTCAGAGAAGATATAACAAAGTTTAGGTCTGATACTGGTTATTTATAGTTCACAGAAAATGACAAAACATTAATACTATGTTGGATTAGTACTGTAATCATTAAAAACATAAGAACACATTTTTATGTAGATTAGGATTATGTGACAATGCATATGGATTTGGTTAGGTAGACAAACTTTGTCCAATTGATGAACTATAAAAAAATCATAAAACCTTAGTAGCCATTTTTAATGGAGCAGTTTGCCTTAATTTTTCATATTATTTTCAAAGTATTCAGTACTGATACCATACAGAATGATAAGATTTACCAAAGCAATTAGAATCTGCCAGTCAAGCAAATGTTAAGTTATTGTTGGAGTTTTTGATACAGTCGGGCGATACAATCCCATCAGGAGTGCCTATCGATATGCCAAGCAATCGCCTGACGCTCCTGTGCTCTCTTTGACTAGTGACTAACAGTGTGTCCGTGACCATCGAAGAGAACACGTGTGGTTATGTGTGTGCTAACAGTGTGTTGTGCGTCACGATTTGTAATCCGCCAGAATCCGTCTGCAATCAGGGGAAGATCTGTGTGTCGACAGACAGGTTAAGGGCCTAGAGTAACGCGAATAGAAACGTGAGGACAGTTTGAGCACGTGTGCGAAGTCAGTTTATTGTGATTTTCTTTTGTTCGTATTTAAAACACGTACGCCGAGAAAATGATCACGTCCAGCAGAAGGTGTGAAACCCTGAATAAGGAAAATTATGACACCTGGAAAAAACAGATGCGCGCAATACTGATAAAGAACTGTGCCTAGGGATTACGTGAACGGCACGAAAGTGAAGCCGGAAGCAACAGGTGCGAACGCCGACGCCATGGAACAGTGGATGGAAGCCGACTTGAACGCACAGTCAGACATCATCCTCGCCATAAGCCTCACCGAGATAAAGCTGATCAAGGGATGCGAGACGTCGCGTGCCGTGTGGAGAAAGAGGAAATCTACCAGTCAAATGGTCCTACCCGAAAAGCGACGCCCTTGAATCAGTTCATTTCTGGAAATGCATGATGGCGGCGATGCTCGAGAATTAGCTCGTGAATTCTTCAATGCAGTGGACAAGCTGTCGGACATGGATGTGAACATCATCAAGACATGCTGACGGTAATCCTGCTTTGAAGTTTGCCCGACAGTTTCGACAACTCTCGATGCGCGATCGCAACACGCAATAACTTGCCGACAACATGTCCTGAGAATCAAAATCGGAGAAGAGTTCGATTCGCAGAAGGACGCCAGGAGAAGTGCTAGTCAGAGCGCGATGGTCGCCGGGAAGTTCGGGGGAGGCGGGTCGAGAAGTCGCATGAATGGCGAGAAGTCGGCAAGGGATTCCAGGATGAAATGCTATGTGTACTCGAAAATCAGCCATAGAGCAAGGAATTGTCCGCTGGCTAGAAGGGTACAGGACCGGAATATTCAGCTGATCGCTAGTGGTGCCGAGGACGCGACTCTATGTATATGTCAAGGAACACACTGAAGGTGAGTTTCCGTACCGGCGGCAGTGAGGGCCGGAATGCATAGTGCATCGATAGTGGGTGCGCCATGTGGGTACCTCGCACATGTGCTAGAACATTAGCTCTTTCATGGCAATCGATGAAACAGCCTGGAAAATTAAACCTGGCCAACAACGCGTGCACGGAAACCAGGCAAAAAGGGCTCTGTTTCAACGAGAGCAGTGTAGCGTTACGGCTCGTAGCAGCTCAGCACTGAAGAGCAAGGTAGAGGGTTGAGGGTTCTAAAAATAGCCGCCCAAACAAAAACCTGGAATTTCCAGAAGACACGGGGCCGCGTGCAAAGACAAACCCAGAGATGTCTCTATCCAGCGCGTGGGGGGTGGGGAGAAATGACGTGGGAGGTCATGTGACTCGCGCCTATATAACGTCGCGTCGCGATGGCGCGAGTGGGTAATAACTCTAGTTTCCTCGTGGCGAATCCAAAAAACTTTGCCCTCCCAGGCTGGTGCGGAGTGCCGATGGCTCAGGATGGTTCGATGTGTTCGGATCAGGCGACGTGTTCCTCGAACACTGTCAGACAGATTGTCGATCTGCCGGGGCACACCAGGTGCCAATTTGCGAGGCGGCCTAGCAGGCCTGTCGTAGACATCGCAGCAAAGCACATGTAGAGAGAGGGGGCTGCAGTGGTAACTCTGACAAACCGCCTTAAGACTGAGGTTTTGTATATATGTATATCTATGTGAATAAACTTGTATGTACTGATTTGAGTCTGTTTCCTTTGTGGCGTAGATACCTACCCGCGACGTTACAGCAAAAGTGTGTGCGAGCGTAAAGGTGATCAACATTGAAAACACTGTATGTGCCTGACCTGCGCACGAACTTGATGTTGGTGAGCAAAATTGTGAGTGGTGAGTTGGTGAGCAAAACAGTGAGCAAACTTCTTGACAACCATTCGCGCTGGTGTGAAGTAAAATTCCTGAAGAGCAAAAGCGAAACTGTCAATGAATTTGACAGCTTCAGGGTCGCCATGCACACCCAGCAGAGGAAGAAAATAAAGTGCCTCCAGTCGGATAATGGACTGGAGTACAAGAACCGAGAGTTCGACGAATTTCAGAAGAGACACGGCATCTCACTAAGGTTAACGGCGCCGTACAATCAGAAGCAGAACGGTGTAACCGAAAGGAACAATAGGACGCTGATGGACACGGCAAGGTGTTTGTTGATCCAGTCAGGGCAGCCCTCCTCTCTCTGGGCTGAGGCGCTGTACTCGGCAAACTTCATCCGAAACCGATGCGCCTCGCGAAAACAAAAAGACACTCTATGAACTCTGGTTGGAAGAGCACAATATGTATAAGACTTCACGAGTTTTGGCTGTGAAGTCTTCGTCATGGACAGGTCACCTGGAAGAGGTAAGCTCGATCAGCGCTCCACAAAGGGCTTCTGTGTGTGCTACGGTGCGGAGACAAAAGAGCTTCAGAATCTGGATACCAAGTGAGGGGAAGGGCGAAGTGTCCAGAGACCTCAAGTTCCTGTGACAGCCGCTGACGGAATCCAGCACCAAGTCTGAAGACTTCCCACCGTACGAGCACCATTCTGAAAATGTCCCAGGGCTGCTGGGAAGGGATGAGGTGGAGGCTGATATACGTCATTTCATAGAGTTGAACCTCGGCCGGGATCCTCTTGTAAACCCGGGTCGGAACACCAAATATAGGGAGGCGGTAGAGGAAGAGTCAGACGGTAAGGATTTCCGATGTTTCTCGCCAGAGTCAAACGGCGAAGATTTTCGCGGATTCGCGCCAGAGGAGCCAGAGACTTTGGTCAGGCGGCTACCCGGAAGACCTCGCAAGATCCACACTGGACAGCCAGGAAAACTTCGTTTGGCCCACCTGGAGGACAGGCGTGAAAGCCTGCGCGTAGAGGAACGGGCTGAGGTTGCGAACTTAACGAAAGTTTCGGTCAAGCAAGTTCTTACTGGTGAGGACTCTCGGGAATGGCTAGAGGCTATGGCGGTAAAGTCCATACTTGAGAGGGAAACCTGGGAGATGGTGCCTAGACCGGAAAATACAGGTGTGATAGGGTGAAGATTTGTTCTGAAGAACAATTATGGAACGAATAGAGTGTTAGAGGGGCGAAAGGCAAGGACTGTGGCGAAAGGGTACTTTCAACGGTATGGAAAGTATTATCACGAGACCTACGCCGAGGTAGCTCGGCTGCACTTCATTCGCCTGTCGATCGCCCTAGAGGCACGAAGAGGCATGCAAATTCGACAATTTGATGTGGCCACAGCGTACCTCAATGGGACTTTAGATGAGGATGTGCTCATGCAGATTCCCAACAAATGAGCTATCCTCTTGAATACATTGGCGAGAATCAGAATCATCTGGTTAATGAGGCCAAGTCGCTACTGAGGGAGCTACCAACTGGCGGGAAGGTGTGTCAAATGAAGAAGGCCATATACAGTTTGAAACAGGCCGGTCGGGCTTCGCACAAGCGACTAGACAAGGAACTAAGTAACCTGGGAGCAGCTCCTTCCACAGAAGACGTGTGTGTACCTTAAGGATGTCAGTAACGACAAAATGTTCATCGTAATTTATGTTGATGAAATTCTGGTGATGTGTCAAAAGTCCGAGAACATAGATGCTTTCCGAAGTGATCTGGGAAGAATTATCGAGGTGAAGGATCTAGGGAATCTGGAGCGTACTGGTTGTGGATAGACTTCAAAGTGAGTGAAGGTATCTTCATGAAACAGAGTATGTATGTAGGGGACATCTTGCGTCGATTCAAGATGTATGAGTGCTATCCTGTTTTCACGCCCATTGCACCTGGCTCAAACCTCTCCAAGGCTGATGTGTGAGGCGACTCTCACGGCGACAGACAGCCATATCGTGAGCTTGTAGGGTGTCTTATATATCGGTGGGAACACACCCAGACATATCTCACACCGTGAGTGTGCTTGCTCAGTACAATGACTCGTTCGAAAAGTCCCACAGACATGCAGCGAAGAGGGTAATACGTTACCTAAAATGCGCTGTGGACTTGGGATTCAGATATCAGGTAGGGGACTCTTTCGTTTTGGGATATGTGGATGCGGACTACGCTGGGCCGCTTGATGACAGACGGTCATTCACCGGATATGTGTTCACTATGAACGGTGAACCTGTAACATGGGACTCAAGAAAGCAACGCACAGTTGCAATTTCCACCACAGAGGCTGAGAACATGGCCCTGTGCCAGGCTGCCAAGGAGGCCACACTCCTTTGAAGCTTCCTGGCTAAACTGGGAGAGGTCGAGCTCGAGGCGCTGACCCTAGGCAACGACAACTTCAGCGCTCAGAGACTGGTGACAAATCCGGTCTTTCATTCTCAAACAAAGCACATAGATATTCGCCATTACTTTGTTCGGGAAGTCATGGAGTCAGGGGTACTCACGTTGGAGCATCTGGCATCGGTTGACATGCCAGCCGACATCTTCACTAGCTGAATAAGATATAACACCGGAGGCGGAGCTTTACTATGTCAGTACCCTGAAGAAGCCTGCGACATGACAGGCGAAACGTCGGCCTATCTGCCAACGACGCGGCGTCAACCGGACAGCCTAGAAGTAATAGGGTTGTACTGTGTCTGTGACCGTCGAAAAGAACGCGTGTGTGTTGGTGTGTGCTAATAGTGTGTTGTGCGTTTCGAGTTGTAATCCGCCAGAATCCGCCTATAACCAGGGGAAGATCTGTGTGTCGATAGATTGGGGTGCGTGCTGTACAATAATTCCAACAGTTATATTTTTTGAAATGGACAGGAAAACATTTATGAAGGAACGTAATAGAAATCTCAAGCAATTAAACGTTATTTGCAGAACTCAATTTTGATTTATACACTGCCAAATTTAAAAGTGCTTTCAATTAAAAGGGATCAATGCCTTTAGTCCAACAGAAATCTCGCATTTAAAAAGAGGATTATAGACATTTTTCCTGAAGCAGAGACATAGTCATAGTATGAGTTCTACCAGAAGTTCAGGAATGAGATAAATTATCCTTCAATTTTTTCAAATAATGCATTTTTTATAAAACCTATTTGATTATTAAACTAGTTAAAATAACTTGATAGATGGATAATAAATTTTGACTGATGAGCTACTAATTCCTTCAATTTTAAACAATCAAACCACACTTACCAAACCAAACTATGTATTCATATCAATTATCTGAATATATTCAATTAAGAATATATATTCAACTAGTAGAATGAAGCCACAACAATGTTGCTGAGAAAAATGACAAGAAATGGTTCTCCAAAGAGTAGCACGCACACTGTTCAAGAATAACAAATAATATATTCTCGTATAACTTAAATAAACACGTTCTCTACCTACCAAGATTGCAAAAAGTTATCTACTCTCTTATAATGCTACACATGAGTAGTAAATAGTCAATGGCGAGTGGCCTCTTACTTTATTCTACCTGTCTCATGACATCAGCCTTGTATTAAGCAGTGCTGCATTGAATATGTGAATTCTGCCAGCAAGTGCAGTATGCGAATATGCAGATTAACACACTAAAATATTTACATTTTTCAGTCAAACTGAAACTGTTCAATTGTTTTTGAAACTGTTTAATTTTTTTCCTGAGTTCCTGGATATCTAATGAAACGTAGACACCTCTCATATGTTCAAAGGTTGAATAGGTGTTTTTTCTCCTCGTTTCTTCTTTCAGTTTCTATGTGAATTGGAAACTAGTAATAAATATTATTCAATGAACAAATAGTTTTTGACAAACTGTGGTCATTGTCTAAAATTGAAGATTGTAGCTTTTAAGTCAATGAAACATTTTTTTAAATTGAACCAACACATTTGTATTGTGTACACGGGTCTTAACATAGGGATAATTATTTTTGAATATCATAACTTAACTCTGTCCTTGATACTGTCTATGATCTGTTTATCTATTATTTTTCGTAACGCTGTGCCATTAGCCCTTATTCTCTATAGTTCAAGAAGAGCTATTTGTGCTTTTTTGTAGGATTTTTCATTCAACATTTGCCTTTGATTTACAGAGAAGTAAATGTGTGTACAGTATATCTGGAGGTCTGCAAAAATTAAGCTTCTGGTGTTTTAGAGAAAAAAACAGCAAAAACTAGAAGTGGATATGTTAAATTCTTCTTTCACAATACTGATAACTATACACAAACATATTTTAATGAATCTATAAATTTGTTTTATAGATTTATTTTTATTTATGATTTTAAGAATTGGAGTTAATTTTTATACATTATGAGGTGTTCCCCACCAAAGATGCTTTGTCAAACTACTTACAAACACTTATTCAGTAAAATACACTTTATAACGTTTGTTCAGCCTCAACTTCCCCCACAAGATATTCTAGATCTACTGGGACCCCCCCTAGGAAGCACTGAATTGGCATCTGATTAATTAATTTGCACTCCTACTTATAAAAGCAGAAAAAATACAGTTACTTTCTTACTTGATCTAATGGTAGGCCTCAGCTATCATGATTGTATTTTCTGATAAGACTACAATTTGGAACTTTCACCTGCAACTAGAACTCCATGTCTATATATCAAATTTTAAAAAAATTCTCAATGGAAGCAAATTAGTAGGTATTTAATAGTATACTACTATAGTATTGGAAGGTCTCCATGGTTGTTGATAATGGATCTAAAAATGGAATGCAATATTTCATGGCAAATAGAAAATCATGTGATGGGCTTTGCTCACAACAAATTCTACACATGAAAATAAGTTTTGTTACTTACATAACATATGAATGGGCAATAAAACAAACATTTTTGTTGTGGATGTTGTTTAATTAACACTAGAATTTTTATTTGATAACAAAATATTCACATTTGTTTTATGAAATGAACAGGTTCATAAGGTGATATGGATTTATATTCAAGCTAAAATTTTATTTTAATCACAGAACTTGTGAGTATTATTATTTTATAACAAAATAACCAACCTGAGAGTATTTCAATGTATTCTTATTAATAACTATAATTTTGGGGTTTCATATCCTGAAAAATCTATAATTTATGTCTAAAATGTTATGATTGAGTTAACAAGATTCATACTCGCCCATCCATTGTTCGTATCTCTCTACATCTTTCTTGGACACACTAGCCTTACATCTTGCAAGAGCATCTTCGAAATCTTGGGCTGTTACAGGCAAATCAATGTCTTCCTTCTTAATATTTTTGATCTCCTCTGTAGTTCGGCCAGCAATTTCACGTCGAACTGACATCATTGCGGCATTGCGACATACGTTGGTGATGTCCGCCCCAGAATATCCGTCCAATCTTTGGGCGAGGTTTGAAACGTCGATATCGTTTTCGACTGCCAATGTCTTCAAACACAGTTCAAGTAGTGCACGGCGGGTGGTTTCGTCCGGAAGTTGAATGTATATTCGTTTTTCGAACCGTCGCCGAAACGCTTCGTCGATGTCCCAAGGGTGATTTGTAGCGGCCAGAACCATGACGTATTTCCCCTCTTCGTGTTGCTCGGCGTCCAGGCCGTCCATGTGGATGAGGAGTTCCGACTTGAAACGTCGAGACGCTTCGTGCTCCGAATCCGCGCCTCGCACCGAGCATAAAGAATCCACTTCGTCGATAAAGATGGTGCTGGGCGCGTAGAACTTGGCCATGTCGAAAAGCAAACGCACGATTTTCTCAGAGTCCCCTCGGTACTTGGAAGTGAGCACGGACGAAGACACGTTGAAGAAGGTGGAGCCGCACTCGGTGGCCACCGCCTTGGCCAGCATGGTCTTGCCCGTGCCCGGCGGCCCCACCATGAGGATGCCCTTCCACGGCCGGCGGATGCCCTTGAAGAACTCGGGCATGAGCACCGGCAGCACCATGGCCTCCTGCAGGATGGTCTTGGCGTTCTGCAGGCCGGCGATCTCGTCCCAGCGCACCTTCAGGTTGCGTTGCACGATCTCGCGCTCCAGCTGCTGGGTCATGATGGGGTCCCAGCCGGCGGCGCGGAACACCCGCTCGGGCTCGCTCTTGGGGCTGCCGGGCTCCTGCTGGGTAACACCAACAAATTGTTTCATCACAGGGAAGCGATTGAGAATTTAGTGGTTCCGGGACTGTCAATGACTGAGGTCATTAGTCTCGAGTGGAGTGCATGTTAGAACCCGGGAGGTTTCATCTTTTTTCCTGCAACGTGAAATCCGACGCCGACCATCACGTCGGCTTACGGGGTTTTCTGCTACAGATATTTCCCCAGCGGGGTACCGTCCCCAGCCGTGCCAAGTTCAACATTTCTGTCTAGTCGCCTGGCATGTGTGACAGTGTAGTGCACGTAAGTGCAAGTGCGTGAATGTAAGGGTGTGAAAAGGGGACAATAATAAGATAGAAAATATGGCGCGCTGTCCGTGATTTGTTTGTTAAAGCACTGCTCCGGCATTCGCCTGGAAATGATTAGGGAAACCACGCAAAACTACCATGATGAATCCCACCATCCAGCGCGGGAAGAACACTGCCACCTCCCGTCAGAAAAATATGCACTACACTCACGGGACTAATGACAGGTAATTTACGCGCTCGGAAACACGAAATAATTAATCAACGGAAAGCTACAGGTCCAGCAACAGGTTACTAAAATTTTCTTCTAGACAGTGGCTGAATACAACCTAGCTAAGTAGCTAAATCCTGCACTGTCGGGACACGAATCCTAGAACCTCCCACTCCACGACGCTGCGCAGGCAACAAACGTTGCCACTGAGCCATTTCTAGCGGAGGGTGAAAACCACCCCAACCCGGGATATAACATGCACCGCACTCACGGAAACAATGTCCTCCGTACAATTGTACGCGGACGGAACCATTCCTCACTCCCTCCGCCGCCGGCTCACCTGCTTGTCGGCGTGGGCGTGGTCCAGCTTCTGCACGATGGTGAGGCTCCTGCCCGTGCGGATGGTGCGCGTGGCGAGCACGGGCTCGGGCCCGGCCGCGTGGGGCGGCAGGTGGCGCGCGTGGTGCAGGCGCGCGTCGTTCACCGTGACGGCCGGCATCAGCTCGGGGTCGCGGCGCCGCATGCGCGCGTCCTGCCGGCTGCCCGAGCTGCCGCCGCTGCTGCTGCAGCTGGTGGTGGTGGTGGAGGTGGTGCCGTTACCGCTGCCGCTCTGACGCCCGCCCCCGCACCCCTGCACGTGCAAAAACGACACCACTGGGTTGCTGGCACAACTTGACGCGTTTTACCGTAAAATAGTGCATGTGTACAGAATGAGTCATGTCTTGCGAAAAAAGTCAGCGTTTTTTATCATATGTTGTCGTTGATGATACACAACTTCTTACGAAAAAAACATCATTTTACAGAAGGACCTAAAAACACTTTTTGATGTTAATAATGTACAGTTGGCTAAGTTTAGCCATTACTTACTTTCAATATAATAGTGTTATATATTTATTTATTGTAACATTTTTTTCTGAAAGCATCTTACGAAAACCTCCCATGGCTATTATCACATGCGAGATATTCTATCATCAAGAAATTGAAAAACCTCATATGTTACAGTTTCATTTTCTATTTTAGAACCACAATTTTTATTTTCTTTGGAAATGTTCTCATGAAAGTAGAGAACAAGCAAATTCTGAATCATTAATACCAAATTGCAAAAATCGGTAATTACGTCGCAAAGGAGGTTGTTCATCATAAACGACGATATTCTATATTATAATACATATTTATATCAGATTATTTGTTTATATCTGTTCTTTCAATATTTATATACATATGTTAATTTATTGGTCTATTTCCTTGAAGATGCTAACAGATAACGTTATTTTGAGACGAAAATTTCTCATTCTAAATTTCGAAAGATCATTCCCTATTGATACAAACAGGAACGTATGAATTGGGACATGAATGACGACCTTTGCTGTATACTCATATTCTCGGCGATAGGCGGCGATAGGTTGGCGATATCGCGTTCTCCGATTTTTCGTATTTGTCATTAGTATTTGCCATTAGGATCATTGTTTCTTGCAGCTCCACGCTAGTGTCATGTGAAACGTGGAAGAGAATCGTTTTAATAATATGGAGACATGCTGTTACTGCTCGGTGAATGGCTTGGCAACGACAACGAAGCTAGCCGTGCTTATCGACTACGAATTCTTCCCCGATCGTTACGTGCCTTGTGCGCAGACAATACGCTGCGCTTTCAACTCGCTTGTCCAGAAGGGAAATGGTGCACGTTGATCTGCCGATTCACTAATAAAATTATCACTTCTGCACTGTCACATAATTTGTAATTTAATACATAAAAGTCATGAATCTTCTCTAATAATAAAAGAACAATAGCTTCAGTAATCTTACCTGTGTTTTTATTCCATTCATCGCCAAAACAGATTTACAGTTTGGTATGCTGCTTGCTTCGCTACGTCAAGGCGTTTATGAATTCGGAATGTACGTTTAAGTTTACGTTCCAGAATTTGTCCTTACTAACTTTAACATTAATAAATTCACTAATATTCAGATGTTACAATGTCAGAACACAAATCTAAACGTAAATTAACAAGTGCAAAACGCCTTGAACCAACGAAGGCATACGCCACTGCGAATGACACTTTAATAAATCAGGAATAGTTCAGTGTTCTTGTGCAATTAGCATATTATTTCTGGAGCGTTGTATTGAGGTGAAATGCAAAAATTGGCGTATTTCAAGCGCAGGTAATCTAAGCCGATGCGTCCTTTCGTTGCGCACTGAACTTAACTGTTACAGCGCCGCAGTGCCGGTGGAATGATTCACAGGCCTTTCACAATTCAGGTGCCGTTTGAGCTGCAAATTGTTGTACACGTTTAGATGCATTGCAGCATACGGAATTAATATTTTTCCAAACTGTGAACGTAAATACATTTGGATACCACCTTTTTAGTGCAATTTGCGCCAAAGTATACCGATGATTATCATTGACCTGTAAGAGAATCGTATGTTTATATCAAGAGGATTTCGTTTTTGGAAAAATGGAAGAGGTATTTTCATCTCAAAATAGTTTTGTCTCGTAGCCATTTCAAGGCGTTCAATAAATTGACATATGTATATTGAAAGCGCAGGATTCTGCGACCGCAGTCAGTATGTAAATGGCTGTGCGAGAGACCCCACGTCCTAGACACAGATGACAGAGGGCGACATGTTCGTTCTGAGGAAGGTCGCATCGTGATGGCCTAAACAGTCGCATCCTGTGCCTAGAACGCGGCGTCTCCCAGACAGCCAAGTACATGAATGTGTGTATTGTTTCTTTTAATTTTTATATTCGTCTTTTTTGCTTATCTGCCACCGAGGGTACGCTGATTTGTATTAATAAGTTGAATTGAATTGATGCCTTCTTTTATGTGGGGAAACTCAGACTATAAGGTCTGCTCTGACTACGGAAATTTTGCTACGCTCTTTTCACCAACTAGCAGAGAAAGAAGGTATTTCTTGAGTGACAGAACAGGCGATGAATAATGTATTATTTTATTATTAATATAATATTATGTTAATAAACTGTAATAGAATATTGTTATATATTATAATATTAATATATATTAAATAATTCATTTGCCTCAGAAGCATAAATTGCTGTCATTTTATATTTTCAATGTGTGTTATCGGAACTTCGTGCGCATATTCAAAAATCGAAGCGCTTTGGCAGACTTTGGGAAGATCATTATCGGCATTTGCAAAGGGAAGATCATTAGCCACATTGCACCGAGTGCAATGCAATTTTGGCAGCCTAATAGCGGGCACCATCGCCCGGCCACGCGCAGTTTAGAGCTATCACAAAATGCACCCCGATTCCGCCAAATCACACTTTTTTTTCGTCTCCTTGTATCCAAGAAAAATATTTTTCTACGACATTGCTTAAAAATATTCTCAGCGCTTGGTCTCGCTTTAAGACTTCTGGACATTATAATTGAGATATCGTCAAGTAATTGATGTGCCCGCCGTAACGATGCGCTTCTCACTAAAAAAAAGAAGTATGTGCTCATCTAAGTGAGGGGGAGACAGTGATAATTTTATGAAATGGATCCCCCAAATGACCCAAAGGTCAGTTTTTTGGGGTTAATTCTAGAAATAACTAAAATACCATTCAATCCTGGTTTAAAAACCGTTCTCATTAGTGCAGATACATTTTTTTGGCTTATTAATGTTTCATTATTGCCAGAAACTCTTTTTGTGATTTACGGAAACCTGAGATTTTGAGTTGTGCCACTTTTGTAGCAAATGCGCAACATGATAATGATGGCGCTGCTGACGAGGCAGAAGCGCGTGCGTACCTGTGCGTGGCGGGAGGCGGGGCCCGGCGGTTCCGACGTGGAGTCCCTGGCGCGCGCGGGCTGCCGGGACTTGGGCAGGGTGGGCTTGATGTCGCGCGGCCGCAGCGGCGCGCGGGGCCGGGCGGGCTCGACGCGCGGCGGCTCGTCCAACGCCAGGAAGTAGTTGTACCTGTCGCACAGCACACCTTCCCTCTCGCGTTCTTTGCACACTGTGGTCACCATGAACACTGTTCAAGAGATTCGGCTAGAATGCAGTTTGTGATCCGATTCGTGCACGCGCGGGGACCAAAAACCGGATAGAAAGGATCTTGAGTGGATTTATGAGTGCATGGAAGAAAATTAGTGGGCCAAACAGGAGGAAAGAAAAGGGGGCTTTCCTGCAACACATAAAGAACATATACCCAAAATGATATTTAAGATGAATATTCGCATAAAATGCGTTGGTAATTATGCGTTGGACAGACTCAAGGATGATTGATGTAAACGCGAGGGCCGAAAAGCAGAGCATCGTCCTCAAATTGGACACGCGTGGCGAAGCTTTGCAATTCCGCGGGGAAGTACGTCGGCCGCGTTGCGAGTGACCCATCCTCGTAATCGACAGCGCGAGTGAACGAATCGGAACTGTATTTCTACCGGAGATTCAAGTCCGGTGTTGGAGGCATGGTGGTAGAGGCGCAGATACGTTCTCGGGGCCACGGTAAGTTATGCAGTGAATATCTGGCTCTGTGTCGAAGGCACCAACGTATCAGTAAAAGATAAATCCTTTTTCTACGGTTAGTATCGATATAAAATATTCTGTGGAATATAATATCACAAAAACATTTTCGGTTAAGCAACCCTTAAAACGAATTCTAAGAGAAAGAAAAGTTTCAATTTACTCTCAACGCATAATTAGACATGGATTTCATACATTTACAAAATTTCATTAAAAACCTGCAAAAATATTTAATAATAACCCATTTCATGCATACAGAATAATGATTATGGATTTCAAGGAAGCACAGGAGAAAATAGATTTAGTAACGACATCAAAATGTATGAGCTTGATGAGCAAATAATTTTATACATATTGCGGCACTTAAGTAAAATAACGATGGCTTGTGAGATTGGGCTTCGCGTGGTGTGAATATCGATAGACGTTGTTTATAACAGCATGGTGGAGAAGCATAATTAGATATTGATTTGATGGAGGGCTTCATTGTCATGGAATGTCATGAACATTACAGTCTCAGAAAATATATCAAATCGCATTGATTTCGAATCCGAAGTATTATCATTCTTCGAAGAAGCAAGGATGTTAATGAAAATCTGGATACTGTAATCCAAATGGCAATTTGTTTTGCACCCAAATTGCAATTTCGGGGACTACAGCAAGAAGAGTTTAGACACAGTCCAAAAGGACCGTTTTAATTATATAGGCCTCTGTAACTACTGATAAAGAAAGCATGCAGACGTTTGGTTAGTAAGAGTCGAAAAATATTTGAATGTAAAACATGTCAATTACATTTTAATTAATTTGCCATTTACACCTTCATGTAAACATTTGTATACCGCTTGCATACCAGTAAAATTAGTGGACTTACTTTGAGAAAATACAAATATTTCTTCAAAATGTAATCAATGCTCGGAAACTCCCTACGTTGCTTATTCGTTGCGTTCCAGCTTCACCCAAGTATCAAAATCATTTTAAAAACTTGTTTTCTATCTTTGGGGACTTTATCAATCATAAATCAATTTCAAAATCACATAAATCAGTTTATGAAGCAAATGAAATATTTCAATGTTTAGGAAAAAAACGGGTCATAACTGATTTTCGGCAGATTAACGAATACTCTTTGACTGCAATCAGAAAGTGACCCACTGGATACCAATGATTGAAAACGTGCCTTCCAAATGTCTAGGCAAATGTCACATGTCTAAATTCATTATATGAAATTTCCCATCACTTAATAATTGGCGAAATGTGCTCATCTTTGAGCATTATACATGCCCTAAAATTTTATAACATATATTTATGTACTTGTAAATTGTACTTATTATTTGAATATGACGTTTTTAAATTGCAAAGATTATACAAATTCCATTTGATTGCTTGCTTGATGGGTTATTTCATGTTTCCGGGCACGTTGAATGCTATGGTCATTACTCCCGTAAGTGTCGTGCATATTTTATCATGGTAAATCGCGGTGATATTCTCCCATTAGATGGTAAAGACGCCAACCTACAAACCGGTTAATTGATGATTCCGAGCACGACACTGTTAAGGTCATTAGTGTCGTCAGTGTAGTGCATGCGTTTTATCACGGATGTGGCGGTGATCTCCTCCTCTGGCTTACGAGATCCGGCGCCGACCTACGTCTGCTTGCGAAGTTTTCCGCGACCAGGTATCTCCCACCAGAGCGGCACCCAGGCGGGACAAGCTGTAAGCTCCCGTCTGTTCTACCGTCATGTGTACTAGTGTAGTGCATGTAAGTGTGTATAAGTAAGGGTTAGGAATAGGACAAGGAAAAGGAAGGAAAGATCGCGCGCGGTCCGTGGCCCGTTTGTTAGGGTACTTCTCCGGCATTCACCTAGAGTTTATCGGAGAGACAACAGAAAACTACCGATCAGAGCAGTCGGCCGCTACAATAGTCTTCCAGGCAGCAGCTGAATTTGACCTAGCTACGTATCTACCATCAAAAACCCTGCTACCATCGCTATTAGAACCCCAGGACCTCCCGGTTGGAGGCGCTGCATTGGCATTAGTTAATGCTCTGAGCCACCTACTCCGGTAAATTCCGTTTGATTACGTATGTCCCATGTCAAATTTTGGTATACATTAGTTCTTAATTGGAACAAAATTCAGGTATATTCAGTTTTTTAGTTTCATGTGTTTTTCTTGTGTTGATATGCTGATTGAAGGAAAAGTTAGCGTACCCACTCTTTAATGTTGACTTTTTTGATATTATGCATCGATGGAAAAAATTTTAAATGTGGGTACAAATAAGTTCATAATTAGAACAACCTTCTGGGATACTCTTTTTCAATTTTGTGATGAGTGGGTATGCTAACTTTACGGACATGTGCTCGTGCTCTGCTCGTGCTCACCCTGGGCGGCGGGGCACGACGGCGCCGGCGCCGGGCAGGGCGTCGTGGGGCGCGTACGCGGGCTGGCGGGGCACGCGCGCGGGGCCTCTGGGCACGCGGGCGACGCGTGCGGGCGCCACGGGGCCGCCGCCGAAGAACGCGTCCGCCTGGCCCATGGCGTCACTCATGAACGACGCCGCCGTGTTGAAGAACGGGTCTTGCAGGAACTCACGCATGAACGAGCCGAAGAACGCCATGTTCTGGAAGCAACAACGCGCGAGGCGTCAGTGGGGAGGGCGGCTCCGAGAGGGAGCCACGCCCCCGAACATGGACAGAATTTAAAACAAAATAAAAAAGCATTCATACACTGCATCCTGATGTATTGTGGATTTATTTTAATACTATTAAAATCACAATGTTATCCATATTTAATGTTATAAAACCAGAGTTTACTTCCGATTATGTTGCAAGGAAGAAACAGTAACTCTTATATCTATCAAAATTCGCCAATAGATAAAAGAGACATAAAACGGCGAACAAAGAGGTGAAAACAAGTTATTTCAGGAAGGAAAAGGAAGATGCTTCGAAGTGAAGGACATTCCATGTTAGCGCTTATTATTACATTTGTCGGACGAACATTCAAAAACTTCCGTAAAAAATGAACTAAACAGTATCAAATACGACAGTATGTGTAGTTGCAAGTGTGCAACTGAAGCTTAGTAGTTCGAGTACCAACGGTGGTAGGATTTTCGACACCATCTTCACTATTGTGACTTTGGTACAATTGCGAGTTGCCGGCCATTTGACTGTTTCGCACCCGTAGTTTTGAGTGATAATTTGGCGTATCCGGCCTCGTAAACGCCTATGGTTATTAGTATCGTACAAGTAGTGCTTTTTATATCTCGGGAGGTGGCACTCAATCACATGAAAGCAGTCGGCCGGTAGAGTTCTTCTTAAAACAGGATGAAATCTGGGCACGATATACACGCCAGCTTGCGGGGAATTTCCCCCTCCAGGTATCTCTCCCCATCGGGTTACCAACCCGGCCGAGACAGGCTCTAAACTGTCGGCATGTGTGGTAAAGTGTAAATGTATAAGGGGTGATAGGACGAGGAAGTAAGAGGATAGAGCGTGGCCTGATGGTTGGCGTACTGCTCCGTCATTCGACCTGGTGCTGAACGGAGAAACCACGGTAAACTATCGATCAGAGCAGCCGTCCGCTAAAACTATGCTCCAGGCTGTGGCTGAATTCGACCTATACTACCTATTTAGCTTGTACAAAAAATTCTGCCAGTTAGGACTCAATCTCAACCACCTCCCAATTAACTATACCTTGCAACAGCTGTGGCCGGTCAAAATTCGTATGTATTTTAATCGCTTAGAGTAATTATTTTCTGAGTATTGTTATATATTTAATGATTGTATGATGTTCTCATTCAAATAAGATATGTTCAGCCTACCATCATTTGTGCAAAAATCTGGTCGTTGCTCCGGTCTGAATTCTGTTGACAGTATATGCATTAACCAACACGGCCTTTACCCACGAGCTTGATAAAAAAAGACTCAATATACCCCGATCGCTTAGCAATGCATTTGCCTCGAACGTACAATTTTTCTTAGAAGAGAAATAAAATAGTCCGTCTTTGTGACAATGAGTCACCCATATTACCGCAAACATTTTGTATGGTCTTATGTTTCAATTAAGAACTTTGATTTTTTACTTTCTCGTAAAAGAAAGTATTGTAATACTATGGCAGACATCGACGATTTTTCGGCATAAAAACTCGTATTCTGAGGCAATGGTAACGAAAAGTATATAAATCCTGTTCCTACGTGTAGCAAATTACTTCCTCTAACACGTTCTGTGGTCAGAATCATTGTTTTGTGAGTTCTTGATACCGAAAAATTAATTGGCGGTAAAACGTGTCAGTATGAGTGTCCGTCTGTGGTAGACTCTAGCGCCTAAACGTATCCGACTATCTTCTTTAAAATGTGTATTTCCCGATCCATATAAAGTAAGTAGAGGGTCAGAGAGTTTCAAATGTATATTTTGATTTTCGATGATATTTTACATGACACCTCAATATTTCCAGAAATTTGTCAAAAGAGGATAATTTTTTTATTAAACGTTTTCACGGATAGTGTAAAGGACGCTT